TGCTCGACGAACTGATGGGCAAGAATCGTAATGCTTGCAATGGAGAAATCGTTAGCACACATTGGTCCGACCCAGATGTCTGCAAATATTTCCTCTGCAGCTTCTGCCCCCACGATCTTTTTGTCAATACGAAGACTGATTTGGGCCCATGTGACGCTATTCACGATGAAAAACTCCGAGACGACTACCAACGAAGCAAAAGGCATCAGCGCATGGGATATGAACAGGATTTTGTTCGCTTTCTCAGACACCTCCTTGATGACGTTGATAAGCGTATACGTCGGGGTCATGAGCGTTTGGCTGCAAGCAGGTCTGTCGGAAATTTGGAACCCGTTGATGCAATTGAAACAAGAGAAAAAATAGAGATGCTTACAAATCGTATTAATGACTTGCTTCAACAGGCGGAGGAACTTGGCACTGAAGGCAAGGTTGACCAGGCCCAAGGCGTCTTAAAACTGTGCGAGCAATTGAAGTATGAGCGGTCTCAGCTCGATGGGGGAGGGAGGCCAGGATTTGGTCAGGTTAGATTTCCATTTTTAATAATTCTTTAACGTAGACCAAGGAGTTGGAGGTGTGTGAGATTTGCGGAGCATTTCGGATCAAGGATGACGCCCCCCAGCGTGTGGAGGAACATTTGTCCGGCAAAATGCATCTAGGTTATGCTAAAATACGTGATTATCTCCGAGAGTATGAACAGCAGAGGGAGCATTCGAGGTATGATCGGGAACGACGATTCGCTCGAGAAAACAGAGACCGAAGGTATGTCTAACTGGAAAGCAGTCATTGCTTGTTGTCGTGACGTTAGAACGTTTCGGGATTTTCATCGACAACGTTTTGGATGACATTCTTTATCAGAAGGTACTTATGATTTATTAAATTGCTAGGTGGCTTGTCGCAAAGAATCGCGTTTCCTTTGTGGAAAATTTTGGTAAAGGTATTTTATTGTTACACATAGCTAAGGTTGTCGTTGTTATGTACTTATAAAGGTTTCGTACCCTCAGCAGTTTTCACTAGCGCAGTTACATCTGTTCTTATAAAGGTAAATGGATAGGTTTTCGACGAAGCCAGCTTTCACTCATTTTGTTTGTGCCTTTCTCTTTTCGCAAGATCCCCATTATCATCACGCGAATTCCGGGGGCGCGAGGAGGCCTTAAATCGCCATAGATCGCGCCACCACGAACCAAAGGATGATCGGATCAAAAGGCGCAGTCGATCCCGATCTCCCTATCGTCAGCGTCGCGGCCGCGGACATTCTCATCGAAGCAAATACGAGACTTCTCCTTTTAGCGCCCCACGTCGCCTTACCGAAGGTGCCGATGATTTATAGATTTACAAAGTGACTATCTGTTTATATTCCCCTTACTCTTGATCATTTTTTGTATATATTAAATTCCCGGCATTTAGCCTCCATTCTACTTCTGAAGATTCTTATGGTTAGTTCTCTCTCCTGAAGGACGTTTACCGTCCCATTCCCGATACCTCACCCAATGTTGGTATTGGATCCTCGCGCGTTGAAGTTATAATTCGGCGTAAGTCTCGCTTTATTAAATCGTATTTTCACCTAACAATTCGTCGCTTACAGATGCTGCTGTCTCAGTTTACACATATTTGTTTGATCTTATGCCGGCTGACTAGTTGGTGCACTAGATACCATTCTGATATCCAGATTTGTATCAGTAATGTAGATTCGCAGCACACGGTCTCATGAGAGCCACCTAAATAGCACCATCTAGGGCATTGGTAAACAAAGCGCCGTGGGCTCCTGAATGCTGTCTTTATTCAATCGCGATGCTTTTTATGTCCAAACACATAGTTGTTGCCATGCTAGCTGTCGGTCATTCTCATGCTTCGTATGGGCTTCCTTGTAGGACAGTCTTACGTGGCAAGTCTGTCTATCACTATGTAGGTGTGTCTTTGTGTTGCCCAACCCTTGTTAATACGAATCTATCCTATTTATATATTGTTAATCCTAACAAGTTTTTATGCTGCCAGATAAAAGCCTTTGGTGAACAGTGCGTGGAGATGTGATTCCCCATCTTTCTGCGATGCCAGTCTACAGGGGATTATCTCTGAATCCCCTTCCACACACTATCATCCGAATGTGGCAGCCGAATCGCTTCACTATTAAGCCGGACTACATACTAGTATGGCTGAATAAGCGAGGTTCGAAGGCAGCCCCTTAATTCTCACATCCCTGTCTAAACCCAGGCGATGTTATTTCCTTACCTTAACGTGGTCAGGGTAGCTTGCTCTGTTGGGCCAGTAACTTTCTGAGTCTGGTTTCGGCTGCTAGGCTGGGCCAAGGTGTTGGGTTGTTCGCTTCGGATTGGTCACTGTTCTGGATTCGGTTTCCCCATAAGATAGCAGTTGATCCCAGGATTTGGACCAGGACTGGCGGATCGTTCATTGGCGAGAAGACATTTCCTGTTATTTGCGTGACTATACCTTACCCTAGACCTCGGCCAGTCGAGTTTACCGCTTTATCAGATGACACTTACGTTTACTAGCTAGGTGATCGGTTTGGCCGAGTCCTTCGCCTCGCTAATTACACTGCGATAATCCCCTCCTGGATGAAGTCTCCGTTTATGGCGCTCACTTGAACCGCGCGGCTGGGATTGTTTATTTTGCCATTGTGTTACTCGAGAAAAGAGTATGTTGTTAAAAAGGGTCATTTATTACAGCCCCGTCTGTTTGTGGTGTTAGGAAGTTCGGTGCGCATTTCCCCCTCCAAACCATAATTGGTGACTGCTCCGCAAGTCGACATCTCGATCCGGATGACGCTAATTTCGAGGCCGATCATATTAGTCCTTCATACCAAGGTGGTGGCATTCACCTGCACCTCGCTACGAGACGTGCGTTTGCGTTTCTGGACTATTCAGAACCCTTGGTCCCACAAAATCAAGCCGTTTGTTCTTCTGCATTCGTTTCCACGCGGAAGACCATCAAATTTTTTTGACTAATCTCTCAAATTGTGTTATCCAACTCTTTAAATTCGTACTTCGCCACGCATTCAAAAACTTTGGATGGGCTTGGTCGTGTTTTCGAACGCACTACTGGCAAATAGTCCCCGCCTACAATGCCAACACGTATCTCAATATAAGGGACGAAGTTCTAATTCAACCCTATTCTTTGCCCTACCATAAGTTCCGATCGCGACGTTCCGCATCTCGACCTTGTTTGTTAATTTCTACTTCCTCAGTTCTGGGCACCACAGCACTCAGTACGGACCCCAAGTTCAAATGAACAGTGGCATAGAGACGTTTTTATTACACATTAACATGCGACCAGGTATATACGCAAAACTAATATCAAGGGACATGTACTAGCACGGTTAATGGTTACTTGACTGACGCTATTGGGACAAATCTATATGCTGATTCATACCATCAGTAAAAGCGAACCAGATATAACGAGTAACAGTGTACAGTCCATTGTATTAATGGAGAAGTTGCTAGAGTAGATTAATCAACAAAGAAGAAATCACCAACAAGCTAATACGTCTCAGAGTGAATGCTAATGTAGGGCAAACGGGATAAAACCAGCTTATAAACGACCCATTAGTACTCCCAGCTCTAGCCCTTGTATTCGTCTGATAAGTATAAAATCAATAAAAAGAAAGTACGCAAACAAGACTACAGAAGAAAAACACTCCAAGTTAATCCGACTTCGATGTTGTGGGTATCTTTACCCCAAAGGCTGACCTGTACTAATTCTCTCCAAGAACGGACACCAAGTGATGTTATGTGCATACAGGCACAAGACACTAGGATAAATTAAGATAAGAACCATATTACGATTGGGTCGATTCATGCAATGAATGACTGATAGTTAAATTAGCCCATACTAAGATGAGAAAGCCGGATGTTCCACTTCACTTCCGGACAGCCTTGTGATGACTAAATCTCATCGGAATCCACCGAAGGATTTGGATCCAGGTAAACTAGAGTATAGATGAATATACAAATTTAAAAAATCTTTTGCTACTATAAACGAGACCATTCCTGACATTCGAATCGAGTCAACAGAAATATCAACATATCTTAGATTAGAATAGTACTCGCACTGAACTAAGTTTACACTATCATATGAGTAGGCCTCAAATTTTTGCTCTATTTTGAATAGATTTGCTTTCAGAAACGTATTCATGTATTCACGATATACTGGTAGAATGAAAAATACTCCATATGAATAGGGGATTAAAATAATCCCAATAAAATTTAACTTTAAAATATGATTGAGTGCGAAGCTCACACATTCTTAAAGAGCAGGAAATGTCTCATTTAATATCGCATGAAATTGCTAAAATTAAGCCGTAATAATTTCCTTAGATTAGAAATGAAGCTTAAATGACACGTGTATTTTGGTTTACAGGGTAGTGATTTAAAGAAAATCAAGGGGCCCCAAAATAAATATATTGAAAAAAAGGTTGAATTGCGTAAGCCAAACCACAAAAAAGGAACATCAAGACAATAGATGAGACCTGATCACGACATTTGATAACTTTAGCTTACAGTGAGATACGTAATAGGTAACCAATGTGATTACGTTTGAGACACAAATGGAATAGATAAAATTTATTACATCCTGGATGATTCTGAAAGTAAATAAGGTTTATTGAA